AAGCCCATAAATACAACTCGCCCAGTATTTTACACAAGATGTCACATCTACTTGGCCCTCCTAAAACAGAATTTCACCTACGATGAAGTCAACAAAAACTACGTGCTTAGTCCCCTGGCATAAAACTGCTTCCTGTAAAATAGGAAAGGAAACTTTGCTACCGCGCGGGGCCAAAGAAAAGCAAATCCCAAAAACCGACCCACTCCCGAGCGGGATGGGGGTGGGGTGGGGTTGACTAGCAGGCCCTGGGCGAGGCGGACCTTCGGCCCCCAGCGTCCGCACGCCCCCCGCCACCCCGAGGCCGCGGGCCCCCGGCAGTCTCACGCAACGTGGCGCGGACTGGCGCCCGGGAAAGCCCAGGCGGGCAAGCTGTGCGCGGGAGATCGCGGAGATTGGGCCCTAGGCAGGGCGCGATCGGATTTCTACCTGTCGGGCAGAGCGCTGGCGAGATTGTGAGATTCCTGACACGGGCGAGGTTCGAGGCAGTCGCGGAGCCGGCCGGCGCCCACACCGAGGAGCCAGCGCGTCCCCCACACGCGCCCAGACCCCGCGGTGCTGGCCCGGCGGGCGCCCGGCAGCCTGGCCCGCGCCCCGGGCTGATAACGCGTAACCGGAGCGTCGGCACGCGCCGGCAGGCGGCCTGCAAGCGGCCGCGGCCCTGCCCGCTGGCTGGGGGCCCGCGGCAGAGGCCCCGCGGGGCGGCCGAGTCCCTTCCCTTCGCGACGCTGCCCGACCCTTTCCCTTCCGTCCGCGGGAAACCCGCGTGTTCACCGGAGACTGCCCCGCCTCAGCCCTCCAGGGAGGCGACGCCCGGTGTCTACCTGGTCATCCTCAAAAATGATTTTGGCTGGGATTTCCTTGCGAATGATCTTCCCGAAGATCGTGTCGCCACCAGGCCGTGCGGCCTGTGCTTTGGCGATCTCATCTGCCATCTCGGCCTCCCTCCCGCGCGGCCGCCCCGGAGAGAAGCTCGAGAGGAGGGAGGAGCCGGGGCAGCGGGCAGAGGGCGGGGGTGCACGGCCAAGCCTGCGCGGGGACCGCTGCTCGGGCGTCCGGGCTGGTCCTGCGCGTGCGCATTGGCGACCTGCACTGCGGGTGCAGAGAGCGCGCGGGAGCTTCCAAGAACCGCCCGACGAGACCCGGCGGAAGGGAGGTTCCTGATTCGAGACTCTACGGAGCCACACCGAGGTCTTTTTTTTTTTTTTTCCTTTCTTTCTTTAGTGTGTCTTGGGGAGTGGAGTTACTGTATACGCCCTTCTTCACTTGCTTAATGGACACTTGTAGGAAAAAATAGATACTGTACTGAAAAGATTTGATAATCCAAGCAATGCTGGTCGTGTTTGTTGTCTGAGACACCCTAACAATTTCTCAGCTGCAGAAGGTCTTGGTTCCAGTAAGTAAGCCTTCCTTGCACCAGTGTTTTTCTCCCTCTAGCAGTGGTTCTCACCGCACGTTAAAATCACTTGGGGAACTTTTGAAAAATCCTCTTGAACCTGGCCAAAATCTAGATCAATTAAATCAGACTCCGAGGTTGGGACCCAGGCATCAGGAGTTTGTAATCCTCCCTCCACTGTGCAACTAAGACTTCTTCCCAGAAGTAATCAGCGTAATGTAACATGCCCCACCTTAAAGGAAGAACACCTTCCTTAACTTGACATACCCCTTCATATCTTTGCTGCTTCTTAAAACTTTTCTTTATTGTGTCCCCTTTCTCATCTCTTTTTAACCCATTTCCCTCTTGCCAATGTTGTTAAGGACCTCCACTTACAAAATTCTATGAACATTTCCATTTCTTATCATACTAGACCTCCTGGCATTATTTCCTAATGTTGATCATTTCCTCTTTTCAGGAATAGTCTTCACTCTCCTAGTCTTGTCTCCTATACCCCTCTGGATGCTGTTTCTCCTTCACAGTAAGCTTCCAGTTCCAGACTTCTCAATGGGTTCCATTCTTGGCTGTCTTCTCTAGCTAACATTTAATTTCCACATGCCCTTATTAAGAAAAACTAACTCTAGCTCCAAGACTACTCTATATAATAATATTTTACCAGTTTGTCTTGTCTTGTCCTCTGCCAATAAAAATTACTGATAGTGAATCCCTTGAATCTCCAAAGTGACTCATTTGCTACTGTTGCTATCAAAGACATTACTAGGACAATTAGCAAAATCTAAATAATGCCTATAAATTAAATAGTAGCTTTGAAAGTTGTGTTAATTTCCTCACATAACCATAGCAAAATTATCAAAATTAGTTGATTTGGGGTAAGGTCTTATAATGTGGGTTTCTAACATGTTTCCAAGTGATGCATTTGCTGCTTGCCCTGGAATCATACTTTGAGGCCCAGTGATGTAAGAGACTGTCTTTTTTTTTTTTTTGTAGGAATAAAAAACACTGAAGTATTTAGGAGTATAGGAGTATCATGTCTGCAGCTCACTTTCAAACAGTTAAAGAAATACCCCCCCCCAAAAAAATGTTCATATATAGAGAGATAGAAAAGGATAAAGTGATTGTGGTCAAATGTTAACATTTGGGGAATCCGAGTGAGGGTTGTATGCAAATTCTGTTATTCTTGCAACTTTCCTGTAAGACTGAAACTGTCAAAATAGGAAGTTAAAAAGAAGAGATATATCATGAATCCAACCACTTTTCGCCTCTTCTACTACACCACCCTAATCCAAGCCACTGTCAGATTTTGCATGCAGTACTTTGAGAGCCTCCTAGCTAGGTTCTGCTTCCATTGTAGTCAATTTGCCATTTAGCACACAAAGTGATTTTTATAAGATATAAATCATGATCTCACTCTCCCGCTGGTAAGGCATTTCGTCACAAAATTAAATCCAAAATCCTACCTTGGATTATAGGGTTCTTACCTGATCAGGCCCATGGCTGCTTCTCCTGCTTCATTTCCTTCAATTTCAACCTTATTGCCCAGCTTCAACTAAACTGGGTATGGTAGGCAGAAGATGCCCATGTCCTAATCTCTGGAGCCTATGAATATGTTTCTTTACATGGTAAAGGGGATTTCCAGATGTCATTAAAGTAAGGATCTTGTGGTGGGTGAGATTCCTGGATTGTCCCGGTAGGCCCAATATAATCATGGGGGCTTTCATAAGTGAAAGAGGGGCAAAGGAGAGGGAGGAGATATGATGGAAGGAGAGGGGACAGTCAAAGATTGAAGATGCCCTCCTGTTGGCTTTCAAGATGGAAGGGGCCACAAACAGGTAACATTCTGGAAGTCAGAAGTCTGAGTTTCACTGGGCTAAAATCATTGTTAACAGGAATGCATTCCTTCTAGAGGTTCTAGGGGAGAACATTTACCTTACTTTACCTTCTAGAAGCTACCTGCATTTCTTGGCTTGAAGCCCCTTCCTCTGTCTTCAGAACCAGCAGCAGGGCACCTTCAAACCTCTCTCCCTGACTCTGCTTCCTTTGCCCATTTATAAGGATCCTTGTGGTTACAGTGGGCCCACCAGACAATCCAGGAAAATTTTCCCATCTCAAAAGCCTTAATTTAATCACATCTGCAAAGTCCCTTTTGTCATATAAGGTAACATATTCAAAAGTTCCTAGGATTTAAACAGGGACATCTTTTGGAGGCCTTTATTCTGCCTATTTAGAGCTCCATGAACTTATGTGAGGAACAAATTGGAATTCTTGTTTAGTTCTGGTCTCACACTTTGAGATGTAAACCAGGACATAGTCCTAGAATAACAAAAATAGTTACCTCATTTGTGGAACAGCTGAAGGAACCATACAGAGTTATCTAAGAGAGGCTTCAGTAATGAACTGATTTTGACCCTATGAGATTTTTATTTTCAAGTATTGGCAGATATGGGGTTTTGGTCAGGACCCTAGTTAGCCAGAAATTGTAACAGTAAATTATGAATTTTCAGGAAATTGGGCAGTGATTCTAAACTGGAAATGAAAATAAGCATGTTTCAGTCATTCTTTAAAAATTTGAAGGCACCATCATGCACTGTCACAAGATCATCTATTGTTTCCTATATAAAAGACAGTACTTGAGTATATTTGGTTAATTGCTTGGTTATGTTAAACACTCATCTGCAAATCTAATGAATTATAATTTAAAAGTCAACTGTTATCTTGCTATTTTGATGACTTCCAATATTCTTTAAAATGACATAAATCACAGAGAAAGAAAAAGGTCTCTAAGCTCTTGTGCTTCAAATCGTTCATTCCTACTAAAAAGTAGTTTTACCTGAAAGTCTGTGACGTAGGGAAGGCAAAAAACGATTATGCGATGAGGGAAAGCTTGAGATTTTTCTTGCGGTTTGCAAGGTCCTAAGTTAAAATGTACTTAAATAACATTTCTGATTGACCAGCATAACCAAAGAGTAGGGTAAGGTGAGTAAGCAGGATGTGTAGAGGGTAAGACTAGTCAGCCATAGGGATTTGTGTCCCGGACCTCCATTTACTAGCCCTGTGGTTTTTGTTTTGTTTTAAGAAACTATTTATTTCAGAGAGAGAGAGTATGCACGGGACCACCTGAGCAGGGGGAGGGGCAAAGGGAAAGGGAGAAAAGAAGCTACTCCCCGCTGAGGGTGGAGCCCAAGGGCGGGGCTCGATCGCACTACCCAGAGATCATGACCTAAGCTGAAATCAAGAGTTGTCAGCTTAACCGACTGAGTCACCAGGCACGCCTCTAGCCTGTGGTCTTGAGCAAGTAACTCTACATCACCTTTTCCGGGAATTGAGAAAATGTACAAACAGCGCTTTGGGAAGTCAGAATTCCAACTAACGGCAGCCATACTTGTTAGGGCTTGGCTCTTATGCACCTTCACAAGAAGACTGTCGCCACCGGTAAACATTAACGTAAAGGTTCTTTATTAGATAACCGCAACCCCCAAACAAGAGGTAATAACGTAGAGACGTCGAAGACATCCAATAACTATCAACCCACCCCCGCCACCTGACTGCCTCGGAAAAGACCGGAAATGACTCTGCCCCTAACTAACATGGCGTCAGGTAATTTCCGTTCTCCTCTCTCCAGTGTTTGGGCTCGGCAACTTCTCGCGGTCTTACCAGACTGCAGCCGTTTAGCAAACTCGTCTCCGGTGTCTCTCTGTGGAAGGCGGGGCTACAAAAGGGAATCTGCGCGGTGATTGGTTTCGGCACGTTAGGAACGTGACTTCGGGGAGTTGGATAGTCCACGCCGGGCAGTGATTGGTTGCCGAGAGGCGGGGCGGCTCGATCGCCGAAGTAGCCGCCGCCGTGAGGGGAGCCATGGGTCAGGCGGCCAAGGTGACAGGGCCCGGGGAGGGTTTGGGTTCTTTGCCGACGGGGAGGGAAAACGGGCGGCCTGGCGCAGGTTGTCTGGAATCTCAGTAGGTGTGGGTTCAGGGCCCTCCACGGAGCTTGTGAACGTTGCCGCTAAGGAGCCCGGTGACCACCTGCGAAGGGCGGGAGAAGGTTTGTGCTGGTGCGATGAGGGAGGGTGGCACCAGAGCTTCCCCACTCGTCGCCTGGGTACCGAAGTGTTTGTTTCTGCGTCATGCAAGTTCTGCCCCCGTTTCATCCCCACACCGAGTGTTTGAGGGACGTTTTTCCCGTCGTTGAGAGGTAGACGAGACGCCAAAGGCAGCCCTGCGCTGCAACCATCTACTGAGTGAAAGGTCGGATGAGGTGAAAAGTTTAGTCAGATAACCAGATAACCGGAAGGCACACCGAAGCGTGGCACCGAGGAAAGTGAATCCGGGCGGAATCACTTGGGAAACATCGACACCCACGGAGACAGAGCAGAGACCCGTGAGACCTGAGTGCCCGAAATGAGCTTGGGCAGTGATGTCCCCGCCAGGTGCTTCCCTGAGTACCTGGTGTCAGATTCATTTCTTGTCAAACTGATGCACGTTCCTGGCCGGCGCACACTTCTCAGGGACCAGCCATCCCTAACCTTGCGTATCAGCATGCCCAGTTTGGTCCTGTCTCTGTCACTGGCTGCAGTATAAGCATGGAAAGGGGGAAAAGGCCTGTGACCGTATAGTGAGGAAAAGCAGTGTTTATGGTTGGTCAATAATAAGCCACCACCGAGCGGTGCCTCCTGTACTACTGCCTTTGGTGTTCTCAGTACGTTTTAGTATATGTCACAGCACCAGTAGAAACAATTGTAAAGAGTTACTCAGATAATTTGAGTGTCCATAATAGCTATCACTAATACCTTACAGCCAACATTTAGTCTACACTGTCTAGGCACAGTGGATGCAACGATAGACAGACCACCTTTGCCTTCATAAAGAAATTTAGCAGGGGGGCTCCTGGGTGGCTCGGTTGGTTGGGCGTCTGCTTTCGGCTCAGGTCATGGTCCCAGAGTCCTGGGATCGAGCCCTGCGTGGGGCTCCCTGCTCAGAGGAGAGCCTGCTTCTCCCTCCCTCTCTGCCTACTTGTGTTCTCTGTCTCTCTGTCAAATAAATAAATAAAATCTTTTTAAAAAATTTAGCAGGGAGGGAGATTTTGAATTGAAAATACAGTGTATTTTGTGAGCTTATAGTTGGGATTCAACCTCTCTAGAGGGATGAAAAAAAAAAAGGAATCTTTTGGGACGCCTGGGTCGCTGAGTCAGTTAAGCGTCCTACTCTTGATCTCAGCCTAGGTCTTGATCTCAGGATCTTGAGATGGAGCCTATTTAAAAAAAAAAAAAAGTCTTTCATAGAATAAAAGTTAAGACCTGAAGTTTGATTAGAAATTAGCTAGAAGAAGAGAGGAAAGAGTATTCCAGAAAGAGGAAGTAGTATATGGAAAGTCCTTGATGTGGGAAGTTGCTTGGAAAACTTGAATTCAAAAGAAATAAGATTCATTCCAAAAACACTTTTGGGGGGAGGCCTACCATATATAGATGATACTTAGGGTAAGTGTAAAGGATACATAGCCTTTGAAGAAGTATGGGACCACAGCAAGTAAGCATTTGATTTCACATACTATGTAGTAAGTGCCCAGTGCTGTGGATGTACTCAGGAAGAGCATATAACCCAGAATTGGAAGAGATAGATAAGTAATAACTATCCAAAGTGAAACCTAGTTCAGAAATTTTCCCATATACCCCTAATATTAACCCATTATGTAAGAAAATTGAGACAAAAAGGCTGAGTAACTTGTCCAAGGTTACAATAAGTGGCAATGTCCTGTTCCAACTGATCTGTCTGTAGAGAATCCACCTTCTGTATACATTACCTAAATTATCCAATTAGTATAAATAAATGAGGAAGAGAAGATAATCTGTGACCTAGCTTTCTGCATTTAATAAAAATTTATTAACTCCAAGGTGATATTAGCTCTTAGAGTTCCAAGACAGTATTGATAACATTTTCTTATATTGGTTCTATTATTTTAACTTTTTATTTAAATGCCAGTGAACCTACAGTGTAATGTTAGTTTCAGGTGTACACTACAGTGATTCAACACTTCCATACAACAAACACCTGGTTCCCAGCACAGCACATGCACTCCTTAATCCCCATCACCTATTTAATCCGCCCCCCCCCCATAACCATCAGTTTGTTCCCTATAGGTAAGAGTTTCTTTCTTGGTTTGCCTCTCCCTTTTTTTCCCCCCTTTACTCATTTGTTTTGCTTCTTAAATCCCACATATGAGTGAAATCATGGTATTTGTCTTTCTCTGACTTACTTTGCTTAGCATAACACTTTCTAGCTCCATCCACATCATAGCAAATAGCAAGGTTTCATTCTTTTTTATGGCTGAGTAATATTCCATTGTATATTTATATGCCACTTCTTTATCCGTTCATTAGTCGATGGACACTTGGGCTGTTTCCATAATTTTGCTATTGTAAGTAATGCTGCTATAAACATCAGGGTGCATATAACCCTTTGAATTAATATTTTTGTGTTCTGTGGAACCTAGTATTGCAGTTGCTGGATCATAGGTTAGTTCTATCTTTAACTTTTTTTAGGAACCTCCACACTGTTTTCCAGAGTGGCTGTACCACTTTGCATTTCCACCAGCAGTGCAAGAGGGTTCCTCTTCCTCCACATCCTCACCAATATCTGTTATTTCTTGTATTTTGAGTTTGGCCATTCTGACAGGTGTGAGGTGGTATCTCTTGTAGTTTTGATTTGCATTTCTCTGATGATGAGTGATGCTAAGCATCTTTTCATGTGTCTGTTGGCCATCTGTATGTCTTCTTTGGAAAGATGTCTATTCTTCTACCCCTTTTTTAACTGGATTATTCATTTTTTGGATGTTGGGTTTTATAAGTTCTTTGTATGTTTTGGGTACTAACCCTTTATCAGATCTGTCATTTGCAAATATCTTCTCCTATTCCATAGGCTGCCTTTTAGTTTTATTGGTTGTTTCCTTCACTGTGCAAAAAGCTTTTTATTGTGATGTACTCCCAGTTGTTTATTTTTGCTTTTGTTTCCCTTGCGTCAGGAGACATATCTAGAAAGAAGTTGCTACAGCTGATGTCAAAGAGGTTAATGCCTGGGTTCTCCTCTAGGATTTTCATGGTTTCATGTTAATCCATTTTGAATTTATTTTTGTGTGTACTAGTTCTTAAATTAGGGATGCTGGCTGTTCTATTAATGAAATTTCTTTTTTCCCTAAAAAACAAGTAAAATGATTAGATTTTTTAAATTTTTATTTATTTGACAGAGAGAGACACAGCGAGAGGGGAACACAAGCAGGGGGAGTGGGGGAGGGAGAAGCAGGCTTTCCACTGAGCAGGGAGCCTGACATGGGACTCGATCCCAGGACCCTGGGATCATGACCTGAGCCGAAGGCAGACACTTAACGACTGAGCCACCCAGGTACCCCTAAAATGATTAGATTTACTTAACTTTCCACTTTACTCTTAATCCTGTGCAACTTATCTTCTACCACTCTTGTAATATTAAACTGCCTGGGTTTCTATGATATTCTATTACCTTTAAAGTCTGTATTTCTAGGGGCGCCTGGGTGGCTCAGTTGGTTAAGCGGCTGCCTTCGGCTCAGGTCATGATCCTGGAGTCCCGGGATCGAGTCCCATATTGGGCTCACTGATCAGCAGGGAGTCTGCTTTTCCCTCTGACCCTCTCATGCTCTCTATCTCATTCTCTCTCTCAAATAAATAAATAAAATCTTAAAAAAAAATAGTCTGTATTTCTACAAACAATCTTTTCATGGCAGTCTCAGCTTTTACTGTCAAACACCTCAAAATTCTTTCAGTCTCTACATATCTCAGTTCCAAAGCCACTTCCATTTTTTAGGTACTCATTATAGCAGTACCCCACTTCCCAATACTAACATCTGTATTAGTTTCCTATGGCTGTTCTAACAAAGTACCACAAACTGGGTGGCTTAAAGCAACAGAATGGTATTGTCTCCACAGTCCTGGAGGCCAGAAGTCTGAAATGAAGGTGCCAGCAGAGCCATGCTTCCTCTGAAACTGGGTAGAATCTTTACTTCTTCCTAGCTTCTGATGGTGGCCATCAATCCCTGATGTTCATTGGCTTGTTGGCTTGCTGGCTCACTCTTGCTCCACTCTAATCTCTGCCTCCGTCTTTACATGGCAGTCTCTGTGTGTGTCTCTGTGTTCACATGGCATTTGCTGCTGCTTTTAAGGATACCAGTTATATTGTATTAGAGCCCACTTTAATGACCTCATCTTAACTTAATTCATCTGCAAAGACCCTATTTCCAAGTAAATTCACATTTTACAGGTACCAGGAATTAGGACTTCAGTATTTCCTTTGGGGAAACACAATTTAAGCTATAACAGTTTGGAAATACCACATTTTATTTACCTGTTCATGAATTGATAGAAATTTGAGTTTCTACTTTTTGACTGTCGTGAATAATGCTGCTATGATTGTTCAAGTCCAAGTTTTTGTGTAAACATATGTTTTCATTTCTCTTGGATATATAAGTGTCGAATTGCTAGATCAGGTGATAACATTATGTTTAACTTTTTGAGCAACTGCCAAACTGTTTTCCAAACAGCTGCAACATTTTACATTCCCACCAACAATGTATAAGAGTTCCAATTTCCTACATTCTTGCCAATACTCGTTACTGATTTTCTTTTTCATTACAGCCATTCTGCTGGGCTTAAGTGTACTTCACTGAGAATTAGATTTGTATTTCCCAGATGCCAGATCATATTGAGCGTCTTTTCATGGCCTTGATGACCATTTGTCTATCTTAGAGAAATGTCTATTGAAATCCTTTGTCTTTGTTTTTATTGTTGAGTTGTAAAAGTTCTTTAAATGTTCCAGATAATAGCCCCTTACCAGATATATGGTTTGCAGATATTTTCTTCTTGTCAGGGCTTGTCTTATCTCTTTTTTGATAATGTCCTTTCCCTTTCTCTTTCTAAAATACTTTTTTTTAGTTTTTATAAAGTTGATAAATGTGTAAGGTTTAAGATATCAAAGTGTTACACAGAAACCAATAGGTGTATACTTCCTTCTACATACTCTCAATTCCTGCTCCCCAGAGGTAAGTGCTTTTAATCATTTTAGCTATTCTCACATTTACCTCCCTGTTTCTAAAGAACATAAACTGCTATTCATTGTGTTTTTTTTTTTCTTTTGGGAGATACTATTTATTGACTTTTAACAATAGAATTTGATGACTGAGCTCCCCTCTTAAACCTTAGTCCTCTCATTTACAAATTTTGGTGCATTAGTTTTCATTTTTTTGAGTTACTATGATTGTATAAAATTGTCCACAGCTGAGTCCTCTTACATTGCCTTTCTTTTCTAATTCTGTTTCTCTTGAAAATAATAACCTGGTTTTTATTATCATTGGTTAGTTTCCTACTTATCTCTTCCCAAAATCAGTATCAGTTTGATTTTTTCCTGGGAACATCTTTTCTGGAGCAGTTCAACCTTTTGCTATAGTCTGGACTTTGCTTTGTAGGCTGGCTGCGCAAATGGTGACCTGTATTTGTCCTTCACCATCTTCTCTGTGTTGGATCACCTGCCTCACTGGTTCCCATGTTTTTTCTTTTGTAGTTCATCCCCTTGTTGTGGGGTACATCTTCTACAGCTTTACAAGAAAGGATGTATGGCAGATAAGAGACTTCGTATTTTCAAAAATGTCTCTTTGCCTTTGCAGTTAAATGGTAATTTGGCTATGTATGGTATTCTAAGCTGGAAATCTTTTTTTTTTCTTTTTTTTTTTTTTTTTGGTGGGCAGCAACGCAAAGTTTATTGAGTGTTAGTAAAGTGATAGTACAAAGCTCCCAAAGAGGGAGGGAGCCCAAGAGGGTTGCCCTGGGCATTTTTTTTTTTTAACTTGAAGATCTTACACCATTGTCTTCTCACAGTGATGCTATTTATAAGTCAGGTGTCATTCTGATTTTCTCTCCTTTCTATGTGAACAGTTTTTTATCTTCGAGATGTTTCTTTTTATTAGCATCGTACTGAACCTGTATCATGATGTACTATGGTATGGGTTTTGTGTTGGGCACTTGGAGCTTTTTCAATCAAGTAACTGATGCACCTTACTCGGTAACATTTTCTTAATTTTTTCCTTTTTAATTTCTTTTGTCTATTTTCTCTGTCCTTTTTTTTTTTAAGATTTGTTTATTTATTTGAGAGAGAGAGAGAATCTTAAGCAGACTCCACGCTGAGTGCAGAGCCTGACGCAGGGCTCTATCCCAGGACCCTGAGATCATGACCTAAGCCAAAATCAATAGTCGGACACTTAACCGACTAACCCACCCAGGCACCCCTCTGTTCTTTCTTGTTGGAAATCCTATTAATGTAATTGTTGGTCCATCTGGACTACTCCCTTAATTTTGTTTTCTCACCTCGATTTCTGAGTTTTTATTCTACTTCTCGGCTGTTTTCTACCCCTAATATTTGCTGTCATTCATTTGATATCTGAGAGCTTTGGGGCATTTTCTGAATGTTCCTTTTTCAGTTTACTATGGCTTCTTTTTGTTGTTATTCCATCTCTGCAGTCACTTACGTTTCTGAGGAAGTTCATTTTGGTTGTTTGGTTTTTGTTTGTTGTGTTTTTATGTTTTTTGCTTCATGTTTCCTGTTTCTCTTTTGGTGTCTGCCTTTGATGTTATAGGTTTTCTAATATATGTAAATACCTAAAACAATGCCTAGCACAGGGTATACTTAGTAAATAAATATTAGATATTTTATCTAGTGAATGGATTGGAGGGAAGAAGGGAATAGTGGCAGAGTGACAAATCTGTGTTAAGTAGTCTATTCAAGAGATGGGAGGGACTGAACTTAAATAATTTTCAGGAATGGAGAATATTGAAAACATTAGAGAGACATTCCTAAAATTTCCACATGAAGAGTAATAGAGATTTAAAGAATTGTGTAGAAATTTCCAGCTTGAGAAACTCAGTGTCTTCTATTCTCTGAAATTGAAAAGACAGGAGAAAAAACAATATTGGGGGAACAATATTGAGTACGTTTTTAAACTTGAGAAGTGTGAGGTAGGCTTGGCCTAACACTAAAGCCTCTACGCAATCTGTCTTCTACCAAAATGTCAGGCTCTTCTATTTTTTTAACAAAGTGTTAGAATATTCATAAGTCTCAGCATTCCACTTCTCTTTGGGAAATCACAATTACACTTTCCTAAATTATCTGAAACATCTTCCTTCCGGGCTCTCTTAAGATGTAATAAGTTCATGAGTTTGTGTATATGTGTGTAAAACTTTAAGAGCAGATGAAGGCCTCCATATGTTAAGAAAAGTGAGAACAAATATGTACCAGACTGACAAAGTTACTTTAGCAGACTGGTTTTGGCAGGGGGATTATTAACTTTTTAACCATCCTTGTTTTTTTTTCCAAAGAACTTGGTATTATATTTGTAAATCTAATTTTTTTTTAATTTAAAGATAAATAGCGAAGGGAAAATTGTTTTGGCAAACCCTGGTTTTATCAGCTATTTTGAAAAATAGTCCAAGTAACTAAAGAGAAAAATACTTTCTAATCCTTGTAATTATATAAAATGTAAAATTTTTTTCTTTTGAGGTCTGAATTCTAATTTTTTTTCATAGGTTTTACAGCTCTTTAAAACATTACACAGGACCAGACAACGGGTTTTTAAAAATGATACCAGAGCATTAGAAGGTAGGTTTATTTTTCATCACGTTGGAGTAAGTCACTTCTTCACATGGCTGCTAATATATCCAAGAGAACTTGTATGGTCAAGACCCATCTTAGAGAGTGATCTTCATATCTCTCCCCTAATTTTCTTATGTTTTATGAAGATTAGTTTACATTACACTACTTTGAGGAGTATCTACTTAAAGAAAATTTTTAAAGATCTAGTTTTTATAAAGAATCAGAAAAGATCAGAATTTTAGCATGCTCCATTGCTTGTCAAGCCATTAAACTTATTTCTCTCTATTATATAATCACATTTTCACACTCTCTAGGACCAGATACTTCCATATTATTAATTCCTTGTGTCATTCCAGAAATGATAGCAGCTGTGAAAAAGAATCTATCCCAAATGTTTACAAATTTAGTATTTCACTGTTTTAAGTGGCTTTTATCATATCTAAAAGTCAGAGTTCTAAAGCTTAGGTTATGTGTTGGTCATGTGCAGTATCTATCTTCGTATATTTCGTTTTCTTTTTTTTTTTTTAAGATTTTATTTATTTGAAAGAGAGAGAGCACAAGCTAGGAGGAGAGGCAGAGGGGGAGGGAGAAACAGGCTCCCTGCTGAGCAGGGAGCTCAATGCGGGGTTCGATCCAGGAACCCTGTGATCGTGACCTGAGCTGAAGGTAGACGCTTAACCAACCAAGCCACCCAGGCGCCCCATCTATCTTCATATATTTCTAAAACTCTTTAAGTGGGTACCTAGGTAGTATCCCCACGGTCCCTAGGAATTCAAGTTTTTGTAATTCACCAAGACCAATATCTTGAATATTAAAGTATATGCTTCATATTGTATATGCTTTACCAAATTCATTTAGTTCTTCATATATCCCTGTGGGGTAGTTACTACTATAATTTGTTTTTTTCCAATGAGAAAACTGATAAAATGTGAAAGGATTTGTCCCACATCATACTTGTGAGAGGTAGAGCTAGGATTTAGCCTAAGCAGTTTGGCTCCAAATCCCAAATTTTCAGCACCTAATATTGAAATATATAAAGTGTAGAAGGAGGGTTTCTGGCTATTCTCCATCAACAGCACTTCAAGTGTTATTGACATAAGAAAAGCTAACATTGCGTAGTTACTAAGCACTTTACATGGGTTGTTCCATTAAATGCTCACAGCAACAATAAGGCACTTGTCAGATTAGACTAAATTATGCTGTAATGATGCCAAAGTATCAGTGGTTTACATGAACAAAGGTTTATTTATCACTCACTTTACATGCCAGCCAAACCACTTTTATATATATTTTGGTGCTATGTCTTTATTTTATTTGTGTGTGTGTGTGTGTGTGGTTTAACATGTTTGTATGTATTGAGTTTTGCCATCTTAAAGCATTTTAATTTTTTGGATTCATGGAAAGAAATTATTAAATGGGATTCATTAGAATCTGATAGCTAGAGGTATATAAATGAAATTGGAAGTAAAAAGCAGGAAACGAAAGTATTTGTATATTAGGTTTAATTAAAAATTTACCAGCCTGTCAAAAGCTTTCTAGCACAGTTTTTTTAAAAAAAAAGTCTTATTTTTATAATTAGTTTCACATGGGGCAAAACTGTTTCGACTATTAGAGAAGTAGTTATAATGAATAAGGTATAAATTCTTGGGACAGGAATTATAAATTAGAAGAGAAATAATTATATTTTTTTCTTTCTCTAGCAGCCAGAATAAAGATAAATGAAGAATTCAAAAGTAATAAAAGTGAAACTTCTCCCAAGAAAATAGAAGAGGTATAGTAATTGAGTCTTTTAATTATGATAAAGCCCTTATAAATTTTCTTAGAAAATGATGAAAATAGAGGGGTTATATGAAATAAAAATTATTACTTGGTAGTTATATCACAACTATAGATAACCTCCACTTGTTTGGTATGGCTCACCTCTTTAGGGCCATCTGCTACACCCTTAAGACAGCAAGTTGCCAGTGTACAAAACATGGATGTAGCTATGGTCAAATCAAGAGCAGCTCAACCAACCCAGAAACCCACAGAAATTCTATCTTTACCTAAGGCAAGTGACTAAAACTAAGGAGCATGCATATTAGAACTACAGAAGGAATTTCTGTCCATTTAGCTCAGCTAGACAGACTTTTTTTTAATTCCTAACTATGCAGTGAGAGTTAATCAGCCACAATTCATGAACTAGTCCTGCTTTGCCGTTTGGTCACTTGCTCTAGTTGAAGACAGTCAGTCTACTGACACTGATCAGTGAGCTTCTTAATACGCCCAGTACATGTTCATTTAAAAAATGCACAATGATTCCTTTTTTGTGTAAAATCATACTGCATATACATACATATTGTCTATTTTGAGCTTCCTAAATGTTTCTGTACAATTTACTTATACTTTGTATAAATGTAGGGAAAGGACACTTAGGAGGAAAACAAAAAATGGAAAATTATTTGCAGGGGCAGTCATAATTCCAAGAATTGGTTTGATAAAGAGGGAGGTACAAATTAGAATCTTCCATGTTTAATAAAATTTCTACATGTTAAAAATTTTTTAGAAAAAAATGCATTTCTTTTTGGTAGAGAAAAATGCTGTTTTTAGAATAGTAAATATCTGTAATAATCAAGTTAATGAGTCAAAATGAGATAGCCTAATTGTTTCTATCCCTCCTGTATAAAGAAGAAAGGGAAAGATTTCATTTAACCATCTGATAGGGCAAACAGGGACTGTGTAATTTTTATTCATGGCGGAAGTTAAGATGACATAATCAAGTCATAACTTGAAGTTAAAAGATGTATACAAAAGTTTGTATTTGCTATTCAGTAGGCTGATTAATAACAATATGGTAATTATTTTTAAATTTTGAAATCATAAATTTTTAAATTGACATGTCTTTCTATCAACTATAAATGCCTTTTACTTGTAAAGCACTAATTTAACATAAAGCAGTCTAGAAATGACCTTTTTGTTATATACAAATGTGTATTTTATATAATTCTGCATAGATTAAATATTTAGTAGTTTTTAGTAAATTGCATTGTTATTGTTATGTATTGGAAGTTTCATGAAGTCTTGGCACCACAAAGAATCTTAGGTATCTTTTATACCAGCAGTTCTTAAACTGTTTGGTCACAAGACCCTTTTTACCTTCTTAAAAGTTGAGGACCCCAAAAAGTAAGTTTCCTGTGGTATGCCTTTCGATATTTATCTTAGTAGAAATTAAAACTGAGAGATTTTTGAAATACGTATTTTTTGTCTAAAAATAATAAGCTCATTACGTGGTAACAAATATACTCTTTATGGAAAATAACTATATTTTCAAAACATTTAGTGAGAAGAGTGGGCACTGTTTTACCATTTTGCAAATCTCTTTAAAGTCTGGCTTAATTCTCTCTCTGTCTCTCAAATAATAATAATTCAATAATAAATAAAATCTTTAAAAACAAACAAACAAACATCTGCCTTTGGCTCGGGTCATGATCCTGGAATCCCAGGATCGAGCCCCGCATCGGGCTCCCTGCTCAGCAGGGAGTGTGCGTCTCCCTCTACCACTCCCCCTGCTCATGTTTTCTCTCTCTCTCTTTTCTCTCCCTCTCAAATAATAATAAATAAAATCTTTAAAGTCTGTCTTAATAGAAGGCAGCTCAATTCTCGTATCTGCTTCCTCATTCAATCTGGTGCAATGTTTTTTAGGTTGAAATATATGAAGAAAATTCAGCCTCACACAGATAAAGTTGGAAAAGAGTTAGGAGTACAAATAGCCTTTCAAATAAATTGTGAATATTCTTTGATACTACACCTCAACAAATAGTAAACTTCCTTAAAGGTTAGTTGCATTGTGGAACTCTGTTCGCTATTAGACCAGTGTGTGGAGAGAGGTAGATAGGTAGGTAAGCAGATAGATAGATTTTTTTTTTTTTTTGCTCCAGGATTCATACAGACCACCTCCTGCTCATCCTTTCTGATTTCCCCTTATCCCTTATTCCTCAACAAGCCTTGTTTCCTGCCTTAGACCTATAAGTAGACTCGGTTTATGTACCTTCAGTGGATGAGGAGGCCCATTTTTATTCTTTCTCTCTCCTGCTAAGTCCCTTCTCAGATGTGTTGGGAGTTGAGGCTTTGCTTTTCCACACCTTCTCAATGTTAATTAATGGCTGCTCCCACCTTTTAATGCTCAGACCAAAGAACTTGGTGTTCTCTTTCTTGATTGCCCTGTTTCTCTCACACTTAATATCCAACCTGTCAGCCAATTTTCTTGACTTCAAAATATATCCAGAATTCGACCACTTCTCATCCTCCCCATCATTATCTCCTAGTTCAAGCCACTATCCTCTTTCACTGGATTGTTACAACAGCCTCCTAGTGGGTCTCCCTACTTCCTCCCTAACACCCTGGAGCCTATTCTTAGTACTTTTAAAGGCAGATTGAGCCTTTTAAATAAAAAGGCATATCCCATCACTCCTGTACTCACAACCCCCATAGCTTCTCATCCCAAAGTAAAATCTAAGGTGCTTACCATGACCTATAAGATCATATCATCCAGGGGCGCCTGGGTGGCTCAGTCGTTAAATGTCTGCCTTCGGCTCAGGTCATGATCCCAGGGTCCTGGGATCGAGCCCCGCATTGGGCTCCCTGCTCAGCTGGGATCCTGCTTCTCCCTCTCCCACTCCCCCTGCTTGTGTTCCCTCTCTAGCTGTCTCTCTCTGTCAAATAAATAAATAAAATCTTAAAAAAAAAAAACTATATCATTTGACCTCTATTAACTACCCACCTTAGCCCCCTCCATCCCTGTTACTCTTACAGTCTCAGTGCATTGAGGGTACTTGAATTTACCAAGAACTTTCCTGTCTCAGGGCATTATGCTGTTGCTTATTCCTAGGATGTTCTTCTCCACATGCCCTTAAGTCTTCATTAGTAGACCAATAGATTTAATCTGTCTTTCTCTTTATTTATTTATTTACTTATTTATTTGAGAGAGAGAGAATGAGAGACAGAGAGCACAAGAGGGAAGAGGGTCAGAGGGAGAAGCAGACTCCCCGCTTAGCAGGGAGCCCGATATGGGACTCGATCCCGGGACTCCAGGATCATGACCTGAGCCGAAGGCAGCCGCTTAACCAACTGAGCCACCCAGGCGTCCTGTCTTTCTCTTTGAATGGACCTTTTACCATGCATGATTTTGTAACGTCTTGCACCATTGATTTGGAGAATACAGGTTCACCAACGAATGCCTATCTTCCAAATGTTAACATAATTCAGTATGTAATATTTTTAAATTATATTTATTAATATTAATATCTATCTCATCAGAAAAATCCATAAGCATTGAAAAACTATCAAGCTCATGGTGGCAGATATAGTTTCCCTAGAATTCTAATTTTTTCTTGAAAACTTGAATTTTACCATTGTCAGCAAATACAATTAGTTGTTTTCTTGAAATAACAGAGTCAGCTCATTCATTTTCAAGAAAATGTTCAAGATGTTACAAAATAATGCATGGTAAAAATCTGTTGGTCTACTAATGAAGACTTAAGGGCATGTGGAGAAGAATATCCTAGGAATAAGCAACAGCATAAATGCCCTGAGACAGGAAAGTTCTTGGTAAATTCAAGTCCCTCAGGGGTCCACAGCTTTGAGAATCTTTGTTCTAGTCCACTTCATCATTTTGCATATGATAATTTCTGAAACTTAAAGAGAACTTAAAGGCCTTATAGTTAATGATAGAGCTATGGAATCCAAGTATTCCGACTCCTAGTTCAGTATTATTTCTCGTGTTTAGAACATCCAGCTCTATAAAAGAAAGATTCAACCCTCTCCCAAAGAAAACAGCATTTTGAACATATAAAATATATATTCCAACAAAAAAAACACTCTGAATCTATTTTGGAACAAAATATGGAACGGATGTATAAAAGTTAAAAGTACACATATGTCTGAGTTTCTGTATGCTTGGAATGGTTAGAAAAAGTTAAAGGCAGTATTACTTAAAAAGAATTAACAGTAAATTTACAGTTTTCAAAAACAGTGCATTCATAAGGACCACTGAAAAAATACCCAAAGGATTTATTCTGTTTGGTTTTCTTAACAGCTAATAAAAATAGGTTCCGATGTTGAATTGTTACTCAGAACATCTGTTATACAAGGTATTCACACAGACTACAATACACTGAGTAAGTAAAATTAAACAATAATATTTTCTGACTTCATTGTATTTTAAAATACTCAGCAATTGCCTCACTTCTAATGCTGATTAGTAAAACAGCTTGATTTTGCTAGACAATGTGCTATATCTTTATACATTTGTAAGACTGCCATTTTTAAATGCTAGATTATAAAACTTTGTTTTCCTAGATTTTTTTTCTTTTTCTTTTTTAAATTTATTTTTTCTTCTTAATCTTAACCACTGGTTACATTACAGAACTATAGTTAAAAGACAATATGACCAGTTTTTCATCATATTTATTTGGGGTTCTTAACTATTATGTTATCATTTATCACCTACTTAAACTGTTACCATTTATCACCTACTTATCACTTACTAACTATTCTTTACCTTTTATTCTATGATTAAAGTTATTTTAAAAATGATTATAGGAAATAGAAATATAGTTGAGGATCCTCCATTATACCTCCAGACTCCTTGTAGGACTTCAGCAGAATTTTCTTTTTTTTTTTTAAAGATTTTATTTATGTATTTGACAGAGAAAGACACAGCGAGAGAGGGAACACAAGCAGGGGGAGTGGGAGAGGGAGAAGCAGGCTTTCCCGCTGAGCAGGGAGCCCAATGCGGGGCTCGATCCCAAGGGCCTGGGATCATGACCTGAGCCGAAGGCAGACACTTAACGACTGAGCCACCCAGGCGCCCCTCAGCAGAATGTTCATATCACATTATATTTTGTTTTCATTGCCTGAAGTATCTTTGGGGACAACAACAACAAAAAAGATGATATTCAAATTTTTGAAAAGCTTTTTTTTTTTTTTAAAGTGAACTATCAAAGTATAACATACAAACAGAAAAGTGCACAATTTATAACTATACAGCCAGTGAATTTTCACAAAGTGAAATATCCATGTAACCAACATCTACAGTAAGCTGTTTAATAATATTACCAGTATCTCCAAAACCCCTCATGTCCTCATGTCTTTTCCAGATACTCCCTTCCAACAAGCTAACCACTATCCTATTAATATTTTAGATTTTTAACTTAATATAATAAAACGTTTGAACTTCATATAAATGGAATCATATAGGATTACTGTTTTGTCTAGTTTCTTTTAGCATTGTGTTTGTGAGATTCATCTGTATCGTTGTGTATAGCAACATTTCTATGACTATTCTTTGAATATACCACAATTTATCCTTCGTTTTCATTTGGATTGCTCCTAGTTCTGGACTATAATGAATATTGATTCTTTGGACATTATTGAATGTGCCTTTTAGATTAAAATTTATACATATATGAAAATTAAAATGTACACATATTTACACAAACATGTACATACGTGTATACATATATATACAAACATGTATATACAGTTGACCCTTAAACTGTGCAAGGGCTAGGGTTGCTGACCTCCTGCACATTAGAAAATTCATATATAGGGGCGCCTGGGTGGCTCAACTGGTTAAGCGTCCAACTATTGATATCGGCTCAAGTCATGATCTCAGGGTCCTGGGATAGAACCCCATGTCAGGCTCTGCCCTGGGCCTGGAGCCTGCTTAAAATTCTCTCTCTCCCTCTCCCTCTCCCTCTGCCCACTGCTTGATCTCTCTCTCTCTATTTAAAAAAAAAAAAAAATTCATGTATAACTTTTGCCTACCCAGAAACTTAACTACTGATAGCCAGCTGTTATGAAAAGCCTTACTGATAACATAAACAGTACATTAACACGTTTTATATGTTATATGTATTATATATTATAGTCTTAAAATAAAGTAAGCTGGAAAAAAGAGAATGTTATTAAAATCATAAGGAAGAGAAAAGACATTTATAGTACTTCACTGTATTTATCAAAAAAATTAATATATGATACTGCTAACCAGTTTTCCAAAGTGGTTAGACTAATTTACACTTCCAGCAGCAGTGTCTGGCTCCAGTTGCTTGACGTCCTCACCAACACTTGGTACTCTGCATCTTTAATTTTAGCCTTTCTGGTAGTTGTATAATGGTATTGCATTGTGATTTTAATTTATATTGCTTTGGTAACTAATGAAGTACTAGCAACTTTTCAGTTGTTAAATGGCTGTTTGGATATTCTCCTTTATGAAGTGTCTGTTCAAGTCTTTTTCCCATTTTTCCGAGGGGTTATCTGCCTTTTTATTATTGATTTGAAGAAATTCTTCGTATGTTCTGAATATGTATTCTTTGTTGGATATGTGTTTTATAGGAATCTTCTACTTAATGGCTTGCTTTTTGTTTTGGTAATGTTGTCTTTTGATAAGAAGTTCTTAATTTTAATGTGATCCAGTTTGTCTGTTTTTTCATTTATGATTGGTACTTTTGAGTCTTGTTTAAGAAATCTTTGCCTATCTCAAGCAAGGTCATAAAGAGATTCTCCTATGCTTTCTTCCCAAAGCTTTATTGTTTGATCTTTTCCATTTGGTGGTTTCTATCAACTAGAGTTGATTTTTGTATATGGTGTGAGATAGAAGTGAAGATTTTCTTTTTTTAATTGAAGTATAGTTGACACCATGTTATGTTAGTTTCTGGTGCACAACATAGTGATATGACAACACTGTACATGCTGTGCTAATCCCAGGTGTAGCTACCATTTGTCACCACACAGCACTATTACACTACCATTGACAGTATTCCCTATCCATACCTTTTATCCCTGTGACTTACTTATTTCATAACTGGAAGCCTGTACCTCCCACTCCCCTTCACCCCCTTTTTTGCCCATTCCCCCACCACTATCCCCTCTGGCAACCACCAGTTCTCTGTATTTATAGGTCTCTTTCTGCTTTTTTTATTCATTGTTGTTGTTGTTTGGTTCCACATAGAAGTGAAATCATAAGCTTTTTGTCAAAAATTATTTTTTTACATGTGAATGTCCATTTAATCCAGCATCATTTATTGAGAAGACCACTTTCTCCCCACTGCACTGCAGGATCACCTTTGTTGTAAAATCAGATAACTATATATGCATATATCTGTTTCTGAACTTTATAATCTATATAACTAGTTTTTGTATCCATGCATCATATGCCATAATGTCTTAATTATTATAGCCTCATAATAAATCTTGATATTTAGTAGTATACGTTCTATAGAGCTTTAAAGTTATTTTTAGTTCATGAGAATTTATCAGAAGTTATTAGATCTGAGTTGTATTTATAAAAGCGGTAAACATAGTTAATCTAAATTGCAAATTTTAGTCATCATCTTTAATCTTAATAATGATTGTTAGAGCTTTTGCATAATATAGCCAACATTTTATGCAAGTAGTCACAGCTAAATGTTATTTTTATCATTTTAAAAAAAAGTATTTTTATTTATATGAATAAAAATTGAGGTTATTTCAACTAACTAAATTTGATATCTATACTTCACATGCCTTGTTTTAGATATGACAATATTGGTTTAAATTTCTTTTTATCTATTAGTTTTTGTATAATTTAATTTTCCCACAAGATTGAAAATTTTGACTCTTTGATGGTAATTAGTATAGAATGCTGTATTACCTTAATAATGGCCTCATTCTTTCTATTAAGAGATATATGGGTCTCTTTTTCTTAATTTATTCCTGTGGGTCCAAGATATAACAAATTTGATTTTTTAATCTGTTTTACAATCACTTTAAGCAAATCTCTCCACAAATTTTAGCAATGTCTATACTGGTATACAGAAATGAATTCTGCTACTTGGCTAAAAAGTAGAGTTGTGATAGTGTGTTTCTAAAAATTAATCAGATAATGTCCCAACATGAAAAATAATAGCAATTGAAAATAATTAAATTAAACTTCATTTGCAAGAATAATCACCAAGTTCAGTAACAGCTACATGAATTTTATTTTTTTTTTAAGATTTTATTTATTTATTTGACAGAGAGACAGGAACACAAGCGGGGGAGTGGGAGAGGGAGAAGCAGGCTTCCCGCCGAGCAGGGAGCCCGATGTGGGACTCGATCCCAGGACCCTGGGACCATGACCTGAGCCGAACGCAGATGCTTAACGACTGAGCCACCCAGGCGCCCTGCATGAATTTTAAATCCATGTCTCTTTTTCCTTCCCTTTCAAATAATAACTACAGTGGAAATAAAATAAAATACCTACTAAGAACTCTTTATACTAAATAACTTCTCATTTTTTCCTTTTTTTTTTATTTTATTTATTTATTTGATAGAGAGGGAGATAGCCAGAGCAGGAACACAAGCAGGGAGAGTGGGAGAGGGAGAAGCAGGCTTCCCGCGAAGTGGAGAGCCCGATGCGGGACCCGATCCCAGGACCCCGGGATCACGACCTGAGCCGAAGGCAGACGCTTAACGACTGAGCCATCCAGGCGCACCTCATTTTTTCCTTTATTTTTTTTTTTAAGTAAGCACCATGCCCAGTGGGCTTGAACTCATGACCCAGGGATCAGGAGTCACATGCTCTACTGACTGAGCCAACCAGGAGCCCCTCTCATTTTTTCCTTTTTTTAAAAAAAATCACATCGCTATCCTTGCAGATAATTACAAGTTTCTTATTACAGACCAAATAATTTCATCATTTGAGAAAAACTCATTTTTAATGCTGATACTTTACAATCTCAATTCCGATATAGTTAACATACAGTATTATATTAGTTTCAGGCATACAATATAGTGATTCAACAATTCTATACATTACTCAGTTCTCATGATAAGTATACTTTTAATCTCCTTCACCTATTTTACCCTTCCCCCTGCCCACCTCCCCTCTGGTAATCAATTTATTCTCTAGAGTTAAAGGTTTGTTTCTTGGGTTATCTCTTTTTTCTCTGTTCATTTGTTTCTTAAATTCCACATATGAGTGAAATTATATGCTATTTCTCTTTCTCTGACTTATTTGATTTAGCATTATACTCTCTAGAACCATCCATATTGTTGGAAATTGCAAGATTTCTTTCTTTTTGGTGCTGAGTAATATTCCATCTTATACATGTACACCAATATTCCATCTTATACATGTACACCACATCTTCTTTAT